CCACTGGTTTTATGGAGAGGATTTTTTCCTTAATGAAGAACTAATGAACTGATGTGCAGAACAAATGATCCACTGAATTAATTAAAGCTGAACTTATTGTCAGCCTCAGTTAGGAACTGCCTTGCTCAGAGTTTTACTCTGCAGCACTCAAAGACAAACAAATCCTCACTGCTGCAAGAGCTCAGAGGAAGCGGATGAACGGGTCTGCCGCTTAGGGAAGGGGGTCGTTTGGCTTTTTTGCATTAGCTTGCAATGCCCCATACCTGTCTATGTCTCTAAAAGGGGTTGTTAAATGTAATGTTAAATCTGGTCAGCATATACTTTAAATGTAATTTAGGTCAAAATAAAAATGTTGACGACCCGGTGTTCTGGTCAGTTCAGCATCTATAGTCAATACCCGTTTATTCCCTTAGTTTATCCCTTTAGTTATGTACGAAAAATAGACTTTAAACTACCTCAACAGGCGTGTATCCCTTTAGTAATGTACAAAAAAACGATTTAATTCATTTTGGTGATGTGTATGGCGATTTGACCTTAAATGGTTTCTTTTGTACATGACTAATAGATGCCTGCTGAGGTAGTTTAAAGTCTATTTTTCTCACAAAACTAAAGGGATAAATATAAATCTGACATCTTGCGCACGCAAGACTATGGGTATGCTGATCTGACAGAACACCGGATGTATTTCTGTGAATGCAAATGAGCTGATGGTACGGATCAGGTAGTGACATCGTTAATGACGATAAAGTCTGACATGGAAGCGGCGTCATTACCACAATGTCTGTCAGCAAAAAAAGCTCCAATACATTTATTATTTGAAAATCTATATATTTTTTAATGTTCTTTATTTAAAACACAAACGCAAAGTTTAATGTTCTATGTACAAAATNTTCTTTGCACTATGGATGGATTGATAGGTAGATAGATTTATTATAATTTCTTTTCTTTTTTTTTTCTTTTTAATGTTCCTTCTCCAAGAACTTCTGCAAATGGACTGATATGCGGAACAAATGATCCACTGAATTAATTAAAGCTGAACTTATTGTCAGCCTCAGTTATAAACCGTCTTGCTCAGAGTTTTACTCTGCAGCACTCAAAGACAAACAAATCCTCACCGGTGCAAGAGCTCAGAGGAAGCGGATGAACGGGTCTGCCGCTTAGGGATGGGGGGTCATTTGGCTTCTTTTGCATTAGCCTGCAATGCACCATACCTGTCTATGTCTCTGAAAGGGGGGTTGTTTAATGTAATGTAATGTTAATGCTGATCAGCATATATTTTAAATGTAATTTAAGTCTTTGTTACAAAATAAAATCGATGACGATCCGGTGTTCTGTCAGATGTGCATACCCGATCAGACCAGCATATATACTCGATACCCGTTTATTCCCTTAGTTTATCCCTTTAGTTATGTACGAAGAATAGACTTTAAACTACCTCAACAGATGTGTATTCCTTTAGTAATGTACAAAAAAACGATTTAATTACTTTTTGGCGTTTTTTGAAGTGTATGGCGATCTGACCTTAAATGGTTTCTTTTGTACATGACTAAAGGGATAGACGCCCGCTGAGGTAGTTTAAAGTCTAGTTTTCTCACAAAACTAAAGGGATAAACGTAAATCTGATGTCTTGCACACGCAAGTCTATGGTTATGCTGATCTGACAGAACACCGGATGTATTTCTGTGAATGCAAATGAGCTGATGGTACGGATCAGGTAGTGACATCGTTAATGACGATAAAGTCAGACATGGAAGCTCCAATACATTTATTATTTGAAAATCTATATATTTTTTAATGTTCTTTATTTAAAACACAAACGCATAAGTTTAATGTTTTATGCACAAAATTGGCACAGGACTAACTGATCTGTCTGTTTCCCAGGAGGTTCTTTAAGTAACTCAACATGGACCCTAAAAAAGAAGATCCACAGAACTTTTTCAGGAACATCTTATCCAGCTGATTGTACAGGGTAAGAAAAAAGGTTTCAGACTTTACATTATACCTTAATTTCATTGAGTTCAAACATTCAAAATTCTTCTCTAAATTAGTTATTTGAATTGGTTTGCTAGTTTTTATTCGTCTTGTTTATGGAACGCTGGGGTAAAGTTTAGTTCTAGTTTTTTTCCTTTTTCATATTTTAGCCACAGGATTAAAATTGTCGTATTAGTAATATATATATATATATATATATATATATATATATATATATATATATATATATATATATATATTAATCACACAGAAAACTATTTTAAAAAAATTATTTGATTACAGTTGATTTTAAGTGAGTGTTGAAGAAAAAAACCAAAATGATTTCACATCAGCTAATGAGTCTTGAAATAGTATTAAAACTGAAACAAAGGGGAAACTTCGATAATTTCAGTATGTTTTAGTACATTTTGTAAACCATAAACAGTTTATTGACGTAATTTTAGTCAACTGTAATAACCCTGCATACACGTCCATAATATTCTGTATTTTTCACAGTTAAAAAAACTCCGAGGTATAAAATCAGAGATTCTACAGAATCTACTCTTTGCATTCAAGAAATCTGTTTTCACCTTTAGGTGTAATTTACAGAAGAGGATTAGGGCCACTAAAAAAAAAAAAAAAAGTTCAGTTTAATATGGGAAAAAAGTCAGAATTCTGACTTTTTTTTCAGAATTTCTCCTTTAATCTCAGAATTCTGACTGAATTCTGACAGCTAACAAACATGTTAGCATCAAGCCATAGCCATATCTGTTTTAGAGACTAGCTCTCTTGTTTTAATGACCTTCTGCTCCTCCGTTAATGAGCGGACCCCTCAGGCACGTCAAAAGTTGCCTAATTCCATCATTTTCCACCAATGTGTCACTGGCCACCTCAAACAACTCGCATCTTTGTCAGTGAAGCTGAGTGCTCCACATCTCTGCCTTCATGGTGCCCATCTACATTAAGATCCACAATTCTGAGATTAAACTCAGAATTCTGAGAATAAAGTCAGAATTCTGAGA